AACGAGTTCTGTGGACGGATGAGAGCAAATTTTAGTTAGGCGATCAAGGGTTTGGCGAGGTTCCGGTGACGCTCTTAAGGAACCATACATTCAAAATACGGTTAAACACGGAGGCGGAAATATCATGGTATGGGGAGCATTTGCGTGGTCTGGTGTTGGAAGCTTGGCTCATCTAAAGGGAATAATGACTGCAGATGTGTACATTGACTTGTTAGGTGAAAATCAAGTCGCTACTGAAAACTGGCCTGGAATCAATTGCATTTTCCAACAAGATAATTACCCAAAGCACACAGCGAAGAAAACAACGGCATTTTTCAAATCAAATCGGATCAAAACGCTGGAATGGCCTCCCCAATCTCCCGATCTCAACCCAATTGAGAATTTGTGGCCTTACTTGGACAACAAAGTGAATAAAGCATCGGTTTCCAACAAAAACGTTTATTTTGAAGCACTTGAAGCAGCGTGGGAAAATATCGATTCAGGATATCTACAAAACCTCGTCGAAAGTATGCCAAGACGGTTGGAAGCAGTGTTGAAAGCAAAGGGTGGTCATACCAAATACTGAGAGTGTTAAAATGTAAGTTGAAAGTTGAATTAACGAATCAGGCGTATGATTTATTTTGTCCAATTCGAAATTCTCCTTTACAACTTATAAATGATGATTGAGAAAGTCATACAATATATTGAATATTCTATGCCTGCACAGTTTTAGCGAAAAACATACAGAAGTATTGCAGAACAAACCATTATTGTATGTTTGAATCTACCTGATATATCGAGCTCCAAAGAAACATTATATGGGTGTATGATTTATTTTGTCCAGTACTGTATCTGCAGGATGCATTAGAAATTATCCCCAGAATTTTCTTTGAATTCTCCCCAGTAATATTTTGGAACTGTCTTAAGAATTTAATATCCTTGAGGTTCTTCTCGAAATATGTTTGAATTTTTTTTCTCAGAACACCTGGGAGCTGAAATTCCCCTAAAGTTTTAGAAGAATTTCCTCTGTATTCTCCGGAAGTTCTTCCCAGAATGAGCTTGAAATTATCCTCAGAGCTCTCGTGAAAGTTTCCCCAACATTTATTTGAAATTTCATTCAAAATTTGATTCTCTCGGTATTTTTTTCGATATTATTTTTGAACTGTGTGCAGGATTCACAAGAAATTATTCGCAGAATTTTCATGAAATCATCCCAAATTTTTTTTTCTTTTGGAACTGTCCTCAGAATTCAATACCCTTGAGGTTCTTCTCGGAAGTAAAGTTTAAGTTGCCTGTTCATTCACAAAAACGTTGTAGTTTTTCTACCAGAAATGTTCAATAAAGCATGCCCATCCATTCACCAGAACTATGCAAATTTTCCACCGTTAATGTGCAATAAAAATTGCTTCTTCAATCTTTTGATTGGTGCCGATTTCCTTTTTCCATTTTCCATTTTCCACAAGACATTTTCAATATAGCTTGCTTCTCCTATCATCAGAATGTTGCAGGTTTTCCACCAAATAAAGCTTGCCCCTATTTTCAGATTTTTCATCATAAATTTTCAGCAAAACAACTTCCTTCCGATCATCAGAATGGAGCAAATTTTACACCAGAAATTTTTATTAAAGTTTGTTTCTCTATTCAGCAGAAGGATGCAAATTTAAGACCGCAAAAAGCTTGCCTATTCATACACCAGAACGGTGCAGATTTTCCACCAGAAATTTTCAATATAGCTTAATTTTAAATAAAGATTGTTCCTTGATTAACCATACCAGTGCAAGTTTTCCATCAGAAATATTCTGTTCATTTCATTTATTAGAGCGATGAAAATTTTGCACCTGAAATTTTCAATAAAGTATGCTCCTCCATTCACCAGAACGGTGCACCATAAATTGTCAGTGAAGTTTGTTTCACCATGCACCTTTGTGGTGCAATTTTCAGGCTTTGCCTCTTGATGCACCACAGTGTTGCGAATTTTCAGGTAAGTGAGCACCTCCAAATTTTAAGCGAAATTCAATTTTTCCACCAGAGTTATTCATTTTGATTAGTCCCTCTATGCACAACCTTAATGATATTTTTACGCCAGAAATATTCAATAAAAAGTTTTATCTTCGATTTACCACCACGAAGGTTAATTTTTTCAACCTTAAATTTACCCTCTTCTTTTAACCCTCCATAAACCACATTGAAAAAAAAAAAAATTACACCAGCATTTTTTTGTATGCACCACAGGCAAATATTGCCTTATACAGGCAAACATTAGCTACATAAGGCAATGTTTGCCTGTATAAGCTGATCTACTGCTAAAATTGTTTGTTGGGCACTTGACCAAAACATTTCATTGCAGTTTGTCCCTTCATGCCCCTTTATGGTGCAGGTACCATCTCAAAGGAATTAACGCAATAAAATGAAATTATGAAATGAAGTTAATTTACCTTCAAATCAAGTTATCAAGAAATCAAGTTATTTAATATCATAATTTTGTGAGTGTGGAAATAATAATCTTATTTATAAAAGGGGGGAAATTGCCCCACCTTGCCCCACCCTGTGCACGCGAGTGCTTGAAAGTATGTCCATGTTTAAGGTCTCCTAAATTTATTCAAGTGTAAATTCTGCTTCTCGTTAAAGAGTTCATATATTTTCCCAACATGATGATAATTGCTTTAAATCGTATATTTTTCGAATTTTTTCAAGCCACAAAACAAAATCACAAATATGGGATCTTCAAGATTTGCCCAGTTTCATTTTTTCTTTAAATTGACTCATGCTCGAAATTTTGCAATCGTTGCTATACCTGAGAAATTGATATTATTTCCATGTTCATGATTTTGAAAACTCGTCTAATAACAAGTATTTTGATTTCGGCGTTGCTGATTTTAAATCAGGAAAATTGAGGAGTCTACGAATCTTGAAAAATATTGACTCAGACTTCTACGCCCACTTAATTTTGATTAGAACAATTGAAAAGGCAGTTTTCGAAGTTGGTTACTCATGGAGGCTTGGTTGGTCTGAAGCATATGCTTTATAACTCAATGCACAGAAATCAACATGATTTGAGGTCTCTGGCAAAGTTGTTCTCCATATTTTGCCAAACAACTATTAAATATTTTTTATCCGTTTCCCAAACATTTTCTCTAACTAACTAAAGAATTCTCCTGAAAATCCGGATCAAATTCTGTAATTGTCAACCCTTCAATATATCTTGTCCACCTGAACAACATTGCCGAAGAAAGCAACCAAGATATGAAGAAAAATCAAACAATTATAAATGAAATTGCGCACTAGTCAATCATCGACTGCCAACCAACATTGTATGAGTCAACGGTTCTAACCTTGAGTGACCGTTACCAATCGATCACCATCCATCACCGTACGGGCAAATTCCAACTTTCAATCGACATTGTTTTCAGTACCCTGCTATTTTCTTCCCTGCAACAACGGGCAGCCAAGGTCCGAAGGGTCACCCCGCATATCTTGAACGTACGTATTCATCGATCTAGATCTTGGCCGGAGAGTATGGTATAACGCATTCCCGTTAGCACTATGAACCCCGCGCAACATGTCATGTCACGTATGAGTCAGCTCAGTCAAATCAACCCACCGAATGGTAATTATACGGTACTATTATGCACGGACCCCGCATGAATGCCTGTAAGTATAGCACTTCGCAGTAAGAATATTGATGTCCACATCATCGTTCGTTACCGAAAAACCAAGTGGCGTGTGCTCCAATTTTTTTTCACGCCCGCTTCATCGGACGACCAACGGACCAGACCGCACCCTCACACAAGATCTGATCTCATTTTTTGGCACTACCGCGCCCGTAGGAGGTCAGAGGCGCATAGACTACACCGGTAGGTAGAGGGAACGTGCTCGGTGCGACCATCAAATAATGATCTCTTGTGATCTAGACGAACGAGGCGGTGGCGCTAAATCAAGGCCATTCCAATCGACTATTTGTTTCAACCGACAACGGCATAGACAAAAAAAAAATAATGCCACAGTTCAATTGACTCCGCTGAAGAACACGCCTCAAAGTTGTGGAGACCTTGCACACCGGGCGGAGAGAACCTATCAAATAATACCGTTTCCATAGGCAATATAGCACGAAAGCAAGGAACATGATCTAATTTTGGATGCCATTCTTCGGCACTTCAACGGCTTGAGGCTTTGACAAGAGGTGAATGGATTGACAATGTCATGCATCGTATATGGAAATTTCCTAAGGCGTGAACTGATTGTCCAACAAATTAGGAAATGACGGAAGTTTGGTGGGTATCGCGGAGTTCATGAAAAATTTGATGGATTATGATTCATTTAGAACCACTCCACTCTGCCTTGAGATTGAGATTGGTGAAGTGACAAACTTATTGACTCACCGTTGTTGTAATTGAACGAGGAAATCCAAATCATAAAGAAGCCACAACATGCCCTTTTTCCCCACGGCAGCAGCGTAAAACAATCTTTTCGTCAAAGCCCACAAGGCGTGTAATTACGATTGTAGTTCCTCATCTCCGGCTATTGTTAGGATATTGTCTTGCCACTATGGTTGTTGTTGAGTTGTGGCTATTGAAGGTGCTAATCCAAAACCATCACGTCCTTTTCACAGTGACCGGTATGTGATTTGTTATGCTACGCTTTATTATACTGCAGTGATGGCGACCTCCACCCGCATGCGAAAACCGACGAGATTTACGAGCTGCGTTGTAGAGCAATTTATCTTTCACTTTCGCCTAGCCACGTTGGAAACCGGATAAGCTGCTCTGCTGGACGGAACATTTTAATAAAGACATACGATTAGCTTACAAAATAGGGCCGACCTTGCCGTGTTTGACGGTTTTAGGTTTCCCAATGCGTTTCAGAGCATTTTCCACAAGGAAAGTCACTCTGGCAATCGAAGTTGTGATTGGTGCACTGAAATCAGCTCCAAATCGCCTCAGCTGTGATTCTGAGCAGAGGTCGAATGGAAAATTTCGCGCCACGCTGGTTATTGAGTCGTTCGCGTTTTTCCTTTCCCTTAGAATTGCAATTATTAGCACGCCCCAGCAACAACAGCAGCAGCAGCAGCAGCAGCAGCAGTGGTGTCATGTTCTACTAGCCGTCCGTCTGTCGGTGCTGAGGGGAAACCGAAAGTCAGTTTCGCGGCGCATAATAAAATTGTTCTAAATTCGTGACATAAAGTTTCAGTGTTTTGAAAAGCGCTGCTGCCGCCCCTTTAACTACTGATTGGAAAACATGCCGAGACTGCGAGGTTGGTGCCGTTTTATTACTCATTTTAGCACGAATTTTGCGATCAGCTCTCGCGCTATGATGGGTGGTACAGCTTAGTCGATTATTAGCGGGGCGAATCGTCGGTTTTGAACTACATAGGTTTATTTTTTTTCTCGCGTGTCTGCCATCGAATTGGGTTTCATTTAGCCACAGCGCCTGACATCTCAGCATGACGTTTGGAAATTGGATTACAAAACTAAAGGTGGCCAAAGGTCGAAAATGGCCCTCGTTGATCTAGTTAGAGAAAAGCGATAGCCAATATCGAGTTATAGAACCATAATTAAGCCCGGTTTATACTATTCAATCAGGCGATCAACTCATTTGAATTGTGAATTGAACAACCAGAAAACTGGTCGATGGCCAAGATTTTCTGATCGCTTTCAAGTACAAGTCAATTGACCACCGACCACCAGATCAGAGGTGAATTGCATCACCTCAATTAGACCATGTGTTTTGGCATTTAAAGCAGACCGTTAGTGATTAATCATAAAATTAATCATGATTAACAATTCATTAATAAAATTGATGATTAATTATAATCACTAATCATGATTTTTGAAAGATTAATCATTAATAATTATTATTAATTTTAATTACGGTTAGCGACTTTGCAGTCAATATCAATTGCTTATAAGAAAGTTAGAAGATACTGAGAGGTAAGCACATATCATCGATGACCACGTTGGTCATGATGAGAGGAGTAACACAATAGTTGGGTAAAGAAGAATTGCATTATAACACACCATCGACTGGAAATGCTTCCGGCAACGTGGGGCTTTAGGTAGTGATGAAACGTCGCTAGAACTATTCCACAGCCGCAGACAGTAATGAACAAAGGCGGGCGCACATTTTTGGCCTGTAGATTTGAGGACATAGGGGAAATGCATGTAATGTCGGCCTAAAAGCCCCTAATTTGGGCCCATACATAAATTCAGCAATCGATTAAACTTTCAATAGCGACCAAAAATATCCATTAGTACCGTCCCAATGACACGTTCATCTAGATAAAATTGATAAATAGCAGATTTTTAGCGATGGGCCCAATCTTAGATCCATAGGCCAACATCGCCAAAATCCGCGTACATCGTACGGTTTAGGCAAAAGGACCCTTCGCTCATTTTCAACTTCTATCCAATTTTCATCCTGATGTACTCTAACGGAGCTATCTACCATCCCTCTTCTAAAGACCATTCTCTGGCTGGCTGTTTTTGACTGGACTGTTTTTTGAAGGACTGCGAGGAAAACGGAAAGAAAGTTACATAACAACAAACTGTGGTCACTATAATACGGTTTGAAATACACAACACAGCAGAAGGACGCAGCCGTTCTCAGAAGACCAATTAAAACTTCTGAACAAGGGATTAGGATATGCGATCTCCTCAAAACCTGACGTGGAAGAGACCATGGAGACTACAATCACTCACACACTTCCTATTCAATTTCACAAGACTATCAGGAATATCATTTCAGAGACAATATTTACAAAACGAAAAGACATTCACTTAGTAAAACCGAAAAAGAGGAAATTCGAATTCTCAAAGAATTAAAAACAAAGCCGGTATTTTATACAAAAGCGGACAACGGTAATGCAGCAGCTATTTTGGACAAAGAGGACTATGACAATCGGATGATGCCCTCCCATCCATTGGCGTTGACGGCACCGTCGAAAAATTTGCTCTTCCAGCTAAAATAGACAGTTTCTTATGGGAATTTTCGGTGGAGTGACAGGATAGTACAAAGTCCGCCATGTTACACGCACAGTCTGACGTTTGCTTATGGATTGTCTCATAGGATAAGAGTCGCCGTCAACGCCAATGGTTGAACATGTGGATAAAACGTTGAAAGACCTTGACCATCAAGCTGTGCAGTCCGATTTTCTTTTCGCTCGCCCTCTCGAGTCGTTCGGAGTTTTCGCTTTGGTTAGCAACTTGTCGTCAGTTCTCGCCTTTCTTGTGGTAGTCTTCAAATCGGCGGTAGTGGAGCAACAATTGAATGCCTCCACTCACCCGTTGAAAAAACAAAAGGTGATGGGTCGTCAATGTTTGGATGCAGCCGCATCTGTTCAAGATGCCCCGAAAAGGCCTCGCAAGAAAGCTGGTGCCAGCAACCACACGAAAAGATGCTTCAGAGTAATCCGTTCTCGGCACTTCCCCAAGAAGTAGATATAGATCCAGTTGAGAAACGAGAAAAAGTGCCCCCACTGTTCACCTTTTTGTTTTTGTTCGAAGGAACTCGCGTTTCTCAGGAATGAGCTGTTCGTCCAGTTTTGTGAAATCGCTGGTAGAAAGTCATGCCAAAACTGCTTGACAAAGTGGTCAGTCCGATAGGAACATTAAAATTGAGAATGAATGTCTGAACCGTGCATTAAAATCTTAGGGACCGTGGCGGGCAAGTAAAACAAATGGTATAGGGTTACTAACAACTGAGCTGTTTCGACACCTAAAATCTCTACAGAGCATTTCCAGCCCAAAACGCAAACCGGTTGGTCATGAGTGTTTCCGATTTGAATGAAACATTTCTCACGTGTTCGCTGCTACTAATGGTTGCATTTTTCATTTAAATATAATTTTTTCCTTCAGAGTAACTTTTGAAAAGGGCGTATAAAAAAATGGATTATTTTTTTTTCAAAACATCATAACTTGAAAACTATTGATCTGATCAAAATGGCATATGAGAAGAAGTTTTAGGTAGTTAAATTATCTTTGCGGAAAAAAATACACTGAAAGAAAAACTTAGTAAATTAGTATTTAAAAAAAGTAAAACGGTGATTATCTCAAAACACCCCCCCTTTGATCTTTATAATTTTTTTTTTTCAAGAAAACTGAATAAATGCCCTAATATTTAGTAAAGAGTGTATGCTGGTAACTTTCTTATATTTTTTTTAATAATTTTTGAAATTTTTGTTGGTTTTTACAAGTTGGTGAAATTGCATATTTTTTAGTAAAATAGTAATTTATTTGGATTCTACGCATAATTTTCAAAAACATTACATATAGAAACTTTTTTCCTAAGTCCAGCCGTTCTCAAGTTAATGCAATTTAAAAAAAAATTATAATAATTTTCTACATTTTGGGCCATTTTCAAATGTTAGTCGTGATGTCCAGCAACGAGATGTTTTTCCATGAATATATATTAAAAAACAGACAATTCATTCTCAAATATGGTAGCTGTCAGACTTACCCGTTTCTATTTAGACGCAGCGGAAAAGAAACACGTTTATAAGTAAATACTCTCAAATATACCCAAATAATCAACAAACCCAGTCATGTGCCTTTTTTCTGTCCTCTATTAGTTGTATACCTTTATAGAATTGTGTATGTCATAACAGAGGCTCAAAACATAAACAGGTAAACAAATATGTTATTAAACCTGTAATTGAGATAAATTCTCTAGGTACTTCTCTGACGTATACCATATTGTGCCTTAAGAGCTCATCCCGCGATATCATAACTACATAAAAAGGCACCCCGTGGAGGCTTCTTACACTCACACTTAAAAAAGTTTGCTATAATCAATTGTACCTAATGAAGATAGGTATAATGTCAACATTGTAATTATTCTGCTACATATATATATATATTGGGACGATCTTCACCTGTTCCATTCAGTTCATCTCTCTTAGCGTTTCAAGTTAAAAAGCAAGTAGTTTTTTACGATGGATAACAATTTCAAGTGTTGTAAACCTCTACCTAAATCAATTTCAAAGCATGACACAGTAACAGTAGTTCAGTTGTTTATCTCAAAATTATTAGAATTTTTAAAGTTGCAAATAACAGTCCAAAAGTGTATTTGTATTTTCACAATACAAAAACATAAAAAAATTGCTAGCCTCTGTGGATTTAAAGATAAGCATAATGTAGAAATTGAATGGCATTTTTTTGCAACTTCACACGGCAAAGGTCATTGTGATGCGATTGGCGGTACCCTTAAGAGAATGGCAACCAGAGCAAGTTTAGCTAAGCAACACGAGCACCCTATAACGAACCCTGAACAACTGTACGACTGGGCAAATAGTCGTAAAGAAGATCTTCAAACAAAAATGTCATTTTGTTATGTTTCTACGGAAGAATACAAAAAGGCTGACACGGAATTTGATCCAATTTTTAAGAAAGTGAAACCAATTCCTGGAACTCGAAAATATCATTGCTATATTCCAGTTTCAAACAACCAAATTGCAGTAAAAATATTCTCTAATTCAAACGATACACCCAAATTATTCAATGTACACTGGAGTCGCTTTTTACGCGGTTTTTTTGTACACGGTTTTTTTTTACGCGGTTTTTTTTTACGCGGATTTCGGAATTTACGCGGTTTTTTTTACGCGGATTCCGGAATTTACGCGGTTTTTTTTTACGCGGATTTTGGTTTTTTTTACGCGGATTTCAGAATTGACGCGGTATATCGCTTTTTACGCGGTTTTTTCTTACACGGTCTTTTTTTACGCGGTTTTTTTTACGCGAACTTCGGAATTTACGCGGTTTTTTTTACGCGGATTCCGGAATTTACGCGGTTTTTTTACGCGGTTTTTTTTACGCGGGACGTATCACCCGCGTAAAAAGCGACTCCAGTGTATTCAAATAATATGAGTTGTAAAATAAAATAATAAATATATACTGTTTTTTATCTCAACAAATCTTTCATTTGACCACATCAACGTGCTTCTCTTCCGCTGCCTCTAGATAGAAACGAGTAAGTCTGACAGCTACCATATCTGAGAATGAATTGTTTGTTTTTTAATATACAATCATGAAATAAAATCTCGTTGCTGGACATCTCGACGAACATTTGAAAATGGCCTAAAATGTTGAAAATTGTTATAATTATATTTTTTTAATTTGCATTAACTTGAGAACGGCTGGACTTAGGAAAAAAGTTTTTATATGCAAAGTTATCGAAAATTATGCGTAAAATCCAAATAAATTGTTATTTTTCAAAAAAATATGCATTTTCATCAACTTGTAAAAATCAACAAAAATTTAAAAAATTATAGATTTCTTTTGAAGGAAGTTACCAGCATACACTTTTCACAAAACTTAAGGGTATTCCATCAATTTTCTTGAAAAAAAAAATTATAAAGATCGAAGGGGGGGTGTTTTGAGATAATCATCGTTTTATGTTTTTTAAATACTAATTTACGAAGTTTTTTCTTTCAGTGTATTTTTTCCGCAAAGATAATTTAACTACCTAAAACTTCTTCTCATATGCCGTTTTGATCAGAGCAATAGTTTTCAAGTTATGATTTTTTGAAAAAAAAAATAATCAATTTTTTTATACGCCCTTTTCAAAAGTTACTCTGGAGGAAAAAATCATATTTAAATGAAAAATGCAACCATTAGTAGCAGCGAACACGTGAGCAATGTTTCATTCAAATCAGAAGGGGTCGAGACAAAATTGACATTTTTTTTAACGATTTGAGCTAGAAATGCTCTACAGGAACTGCTGCATTCTCAAAGAAACGTCGCGCAGTATTCCCATCGTTCGCTCTATTGCCGCGTGACATGTCAACAAGAAGTCCCAATTCTAGTTTGAAGCGTTGTTGGATAAGCTGCTTTCGGACTTTAACTTTTTCGGCATCAGGTCCAGTGCATCTCCATTTTTGGACTTTCATTTTGTAGCCCAGGTGTAGAAATTATTCGAAAAATCTGTAACAATTTGTCAAATTTTGAATGGATTGAACAACGTTATTTTACATTTTTCTTACCAGATGTTTGCATGGAGAACTGATAATCCAAACTGAAATACTTCTTCATCGATTGGTCGCAAAAGAACATTTTGAATATTATTCATTTGAGTGGGTGTAGTCTTGCAGATTTTACATAGCTGTGCTTATTTTGTGGTCGTAACAGCATTAACAACTTTGCCATCAATCATGGTTATATGTAGCCTATATTCGACTCGGATCCGATGACCATTGATTTCGAATTCCGTTGGCCGAAGATTTTGGATCGTATTATCCACATGCTCTTTTTCTCTGAGGGTAACTTCAGTCGTCTCACTAACCAACTGAATTCGCACGGGTCGGCAGTATCTTGCTGAGGATGGTATAGAGTTATACACCACCGTTTTAATTTCACGCTTTTCTAACCAAAATATATATTGACAACTGGAGTAAACTAAGCACACAAAGTGCTTGTCTTAGAAAATGTTTTGTTTAAATTAATCATTTTTTGTTAATGCATACATACAGAAAATTTTCTTGTTGTTCAAGGATGAGTTTGATAATATCTGTTTCTATAATCCGCAATTTACCGTTCATAAATGAGGAGACAGGGTTAGTTTTTATATAGAAAAAGGCCAAACACGTGAACATTCAACGTGACCCTATTCACTCACTTATGAATTGGCGCTAACCAAACCTTCACTACTTTGTAGTACAGAGTCTAAGCTTTAAAAAGAGCACTTGGTGCTGTGTCCCGGTTTGCTACCTTCTCCCCTATATGCAGCTGAAATTAAGGAAAAATAAATGTAAAAAGTACTATAAAGTTATAAGTTGAAAGGGATGATTTTAACCACATACTGTCTTTAGCAAAAACATGTATTTGTATGTTGTTTCTATAATTTTAGAACATTCTTTACTTAAAAAAAACAGTTATAAAAAAGTTAAACTCAAAAAACTGAATTTAAGGGGGTTTCCATCAAAAACGCTTCATATCTTATCATATCTACAAGTATTCGTCATACAAATTTGATGTTTGGAACAAAGTTTCATATTTTTGTAAGTACTACAACTTTGCTGAAAAAATACCCTTCTATCTCTTTTGCAAAAAAAGTAATTTTTTTTTATTTTTTCATAGTATACCATGACAAATATTGGTAATTGTCATAATATGCGCAATGTTTTTGTGAACAATTCTTCTCAATACAGTTTTTGGATTAAGTCAACGGTTTTACCACAAAACAGTTAAGTTCACCAAATTGGCATCTCCAACCACTGTGCAACGCTGTTGGCACATTTCTTCTGATGAACCGGTTTGAGTTCTACACTCACGACGTCTCTGGAAGCAAACCACTGAAAATGGTGATCCCTGGTCTTCCAAATCTCCCTGTTGCGGAGATTCAAGCGGAAGTGGAGCACCTTCATCTGAAACCAATCAACATTTTTTTCATTGCGAGACGTGATGAAGCCAGTGCATTCCGGGACCAGTTGTACCTGGAGCACTTCGATAAGGACTCCACCAGTGTCGCGCGCTGTTCAAAATCGTGATTCAGTGACAAAAAACACTAATTGTGGGCTCGTTGTGGCGAATGTGCTGGGGCTCACAATGTCCTAAGCGAGCGGCCTTCATCCAGATCCGACAACAGGCTTCCACGAGGAATCAACCTGGTCTCCACCGCAATAATCGTGCTCCTATTGTCAACATGGACACGTTTCCAGTACTTCAGGCTCGTCGTATGGTCCCAAACCTAGCACTGCTTCCACTAAACTAGCGCCCCCCCCCCCCGTTGCGAATCCACCATCAGATCAAGCCGATCCCAGCCACCGTTCAGTTTAGCATCGCCTCACTGCCGCTGCGGCCCAGCCGAGCCATGGCTCTATTGCCCGGGATTATCGTACGCCCGTGCTGTGTCAGGTGAGTCAGAAGATAATTCTCCTCTCACAAGCGATGAACTAGTGATCCTCGTGACTGAGGTGATCATAATCTTGCGCACCATCAAGACACTACCTGAGCAGTTTCGTGCAGTTATGTCCCTCATGCAAAAGTATGGACCGTGAAGCCATCAAAATATTCAACTGGAACGCTTGCTCGCTCAAGAGCAAAATCATTGAGTTCGTTGATTTTCTCAATGGACATAGCATTGACATCACCGTCATCACCGAAACACACCTGAAGCCGTAGATAAATGCTCACCTCCCCGATTTTCGGCTCGTAATGCTAGACCAACCCAGCTCCTGCGGAGGAGGAGTGGCTATCGCATTAAGGAGAAATATTGGCTGTCGACTGCTACCGAGTTTCCAGCTGAAGATGATCGAAGCGGTGGGTGCGGAAGTCTCCACTCCTGTCGGCCCTTGTACCATCATTGCGGCTTTCTGTCCCAAAAAAGTCACCATCAGGGACGGGTCGGTAGCAGACCTGTGGAGAGACATCATGAGACTAACTCGACGGTGTGAGAAGTACATCATCTCTGGCAACCTAAGAGCCAAACACCAGGCTTGGGGCAACAGTCGACGCAACCAAAACGGCACAATCCTGAACGACGACCTGCAAGAGGCTCACTACACCATAATAGCGCCGAACTCTCCCACCCATTTGAGCCGGTCTGGCGTTCACTACACCATCGACATCTTCTTCAGTAACATGGGAGACAACATCTCGCAACCTGTGACCCACCAGGAGCGGAATTCGGGCCACTATCCGGTGATGGCCGATGTGAGCTCATCCGTCAACCGATTCCTAGCTTCCCGACGCATCTACCATTGCGTCAGCTGGGATCAGTTTCAACACTGGGGGGCGACCCCGGCGCACTATCAGATATAAGGCGGTCAAAAATCAAAAAATCGACTTTCACTAATCCTTATTTCATTATTTTTGATCGATAGTAAACATTTCAACTAAGAGAATCTGAAAGTTTCAAGTTTCTAGCAGTTTTAGTTTCTGAGATATCGGATGTCAAAGTAAAAAAAGAGTAAGAAAAGTACAAATTTTGCCGCAAAAATACACTACCACTCAAATAAAATTTCATCCACTATTTATCATATAACTACCACATCATTATACATCGTTGGAAAGGTAATTTAATAAGCTTTTCGAAAATAAAATCTATTTGGAAATTTGATGGAGACAAAAAAATTTAAAAATAAAAATAGAAAAAAAAAATAATTGAAAATTTATGAAAATTTAACTTAATTGATCACAAACTTTCGAGTCTCGCACATTCCCAGGCTAATTCTCAGCTCTGGATGAAGTTTTGAGTGTACTCTAACAAGTACTGAAAAATTTGCCTGCCTCAACCTGCCCCATTGGAAATATAAGCGATTTGAAAATTTTCGGTTATTATGGGAGATTTCAAATTGTACAAGAGCCGGCTTGGAAACAAACTTTTTCAACAATTATTTTGCAACTTTTGGAGTTATATTCGGTTGGTATAGTCGAAATATATTGTTAAAGAACATTTTCTAATATTTCATGACCAACTTTTAAAAAGGGCTTAAGCTTTTGTACAAAAAGAAGTCATCATTATCATAAAGTTCACTGTTGGATGAACGTAAAACTACATTCGTTTATGCTTCATTCTAAAGTAAGTACCTGGGTTATGACGATTATAGAAGCATATGCGTAAGTATGTACCTATGCATATGCGCGGATGAGTTTAATTTATACCTAAGTCTGTACTTAACCTACTGTAGTGTCAATTTGAAGCCATAGTGTATTTTGTGTAGCTTTTATTTAAACTACTACAGTGTAATTCAAATTTACGGTTGAGACCAAGTGTGAGCATGCACAGATAAAAAATCTGAACTTTAATTGTGATGTAAACATTCATTCACGCAGACTTGTATTTCATTTCACGCAACCGAGCAACTTGCAAACAATGTTGTTTACAAAGATGGGGTTTTGTGTACAATATTTGCTACATTGCATGAAATGTGTCAGATTTTTACATGATATATAATGTAAACGTATATGATATGTGACGCTCCATTTATGTGCATCATATTGAACAGAAATTTACACTACTTTTTCGAACTGTGTGGATAATAGAACCATTATTAATCTATTAGACGCAAAATTAAGCCATAGTGACAATGTTCACAGAGCCATTGAATTCATTTGTGAAAATTATAACATCTCGGTGGAAAAACGTAAACGTCTCGATGAAAAGATCCATAAAATTGTTACTAAATACATCAACAAATGGCATGAAGCTAATCGCACGAAAGAGCGATTTGAGTCGTATTTTCTAAATTGGCTTGATGGAGAATTTGGCATCGAGGAATTCATCGAACAGGAGCCATGTGAATGCCAGCGAAAATTGAACTCTCAAACGACAAGTTTATACTTGTTGATTTTGATTTTGTCCTCAGTATGATAGACGGAAAAGTCTTAACTTATATCACTGGAAATTCGTCGATGCAGAATTGTCCAATATGTGGGGCAACACCAAATGTAATGAATGATGCAGAGAAATTCGAGGAAGGATTTATATCAAACGAAGAAGCCTTGCATTACGGCATATCTCCACTTCATGCTTGGATAAAATTTTTCGAATGCCTTTTGCATATTGCATACAGAATGGATATCAAAAAATGGAAGGTAACGAAACCGTTCAAAGAACTATATGAACAAAGAAAAAAAAAAACATGTGACGACACAGCTTTACGAAAAATTATATAAATATTTTATTATATTTATATATTTTTATTATATTTTTTCAAATATTATAAAAATAAAAAAACATATAGGAAGAGGCAGCAGAAAGTCAACATAAACAATTGAAAAAATATCGAACCCATCATGCAAGAAAACGATCAAGAGTAGAAAATTTACATGATGTCTTTATTCGTGCCATTAATGAATCGGACCCACTGATCAGTTCCATTTGGATGGCAAAAAGACGACAGAAAAAAGTATCCATGGATTATCCCGACATCGTGAAAAGTTTCATGATATTTGAAAATTCTGTAAGTGATTCAGTAGTCGATACTAATAACTTCAATGCCTTGGAGGAACTTATGAAAGCAGTCGATGAAATTGAAGAAGAATTTGTTCATGATGATATTGTAACAGAGGAACAAAAAGAAATTCGTTGAAACATATTTGATTTTGATTATTGTATCATGGCTTTTTTGTATTTTTTTTACAGAAGATTTGTTGAAAAAAATAAACATATTTCCAAAAAAAATGTTTATTTTTTATTTTTTACGGTGTTCCCCCAATAAAACCATGAAAGGTTGTCTTTGTTCAATAGATTTTATTCTCTGAAAACAAGCGTGAAACTGTAACCGTTATAAAATCGTAAAAATTAAATTTTAAATAATCAAAAGTTATGCCCTTTTCAAAAGTTGGTCGTGAAAATGTTGAAAAGTGATAACACACACCTTATATTGATGAAACAAAGCAAGAATAATAGCAGAAATTATGAAAAAATTATAGAAATATTTTCGACCGCCTGGTTGTATGAAAATGCCCCATAGTGCGGCGTAGTGGTTAATATCCAAACCTCTCACGCCAAAGTCACGAGTTCAAATCTCACCCCCGGACAAGTCTCGAATGACCCAAGAGTGTTAAAGTGACTAAAAAAAAAAAAAGTTTCAACACTGTGTCGACTCCACTGTCGAATACGGAATCCTTCCGGAAACGCCCGATAACGTTGACCGGTGTTTGCGTTCCATCGAGGAGGTGATATCCCGGGCCAGGGAAAATCACATGCCAGTATCCAGAAAGGGAGCAATACTCTGAACCTTAATAGAATTACCAAAAATCTCATCAGACTCTGTAACTCCGTTCGAAGGGTTGGAGGCGAACCAGCCTCAGGTTGAAACCCTCCTAAATAAAGATAAATCAATCAATCAATCCGTTCGAAGGCAATACCAGCGTTTTGGCTTGCCTGTCTTTAAGACCCACTGCAATCGCCTAACACAAACCATCCAAGCCAGGATGGTGGACCTCAGAAATCAGAACTTTGCTAACAGGATCCGCTCTCTCCAAGATACGACAAAACCCTTTTGGAAACTAACCAAAATCCTTAAAAATAAGCCAAGACCCATTCCACCACTGACCCCATTGGATACTGGTTTATCTGATAACTCCTGAAGAGAAGGCTGCCGCTACGCTTCGTCAGCTCCCATAATCTCGGTCAAAACATAGTCAGCCCTCGCGAAGCTGAGGTTGCTGTAAACGTAACCAACCTCCATCAGATTCCTAATATTTTCCCCGAGGAATCCGAGATTACGACTGACGAACTGTTGGCCTTTATCAAATCATCTAAAAACATGAAGGTCCCAGGTTTCGACAACATCCTGAATCTGGAACTCAAACACTTGAATTCCAGATTCTAGAACCATCTCGCACTGATTTTTAATATGCGCCTCCGACATAGCTACTTCCCCTCGTGTTGGAAGTCAGCTAAAGTCATACCCACCCGGAAACCTGGAAAGGATCCGTCCTCTTCTTTAAGTTATCGACCAATCAGCCTTCTCTCAGGGTTATCAAAACTCTTCGAAAGAGCAGTGTACCACCGGCTCCTAACATCTGCCGATGAACACAACTTGTTACTCGAGGAACAGTTTGGTTTTCGGAAAGGTCGTTCGACCGTCCACCAGCTGACTCGAGTAACAAACATTCTCAGCCGGAACAAGTCAGTCTATCAGACAGGACGTTCCGAGTCTCTCTGAATGGCATCACATCGGATGCTTTCAACATCGGTGCCGGGGTTCCACAAGGAAGCATCCTTGGCCCCATCCTATTCAACCTGTTCACCTCCGATATGCCGGCTCTCCCTGATGGTGGATCGTTGTCTCTGTTCGCAGATGACACATCCATCGTCTACAAGGGTAGGGTCATCGGAGCTCTGACTGCCAAACTTCAGAGAGGCCTGGACGTCCTGTCTGGATATTTCAACAGCTGGAAGATCCGTATCAACGCGGCAAACACCCAGGTCATTATCTTTCCACACTCTAAATCTCCTAGACTTGTTCCGTCGGAGAATAACAAGATCTGCCTGAATGGAACAGTGGTGGAATGGTCAAAAGAGGTAGTCTACCTTGGCTTAATACTAGACAGCAAGCTGATTTTCAGGGAGCACGTTGACAAAACCAAAACCAAGTGTAATATCTTGATAAGATCACTGTATCCACTCATCAACAGGAGGTCTACTCTATCCATGAAAAATTAGCTTG